ATTCCAGCTAGCAGGGCTTCGTACTCCGCCTCATTGTTTGAGGCCTGAAATTTGAACTGTAGTGCATACTCATATTTGTCCCCTTCCGGAGATTCATAGATTACGCCTGCACCACATCCGTTTTTTGTTAAGTTCTCGTCTACATACACTTTCCAAACCTGATCAAGATTATCCGGAGCCACCGGACGGTTCATTTAAACAATGAAGTAGGCAAACGCCTGACCCTTCATTTCCTTTCTTGGCTCAAAAGTGATTTCAAGACTTTGCATTTCAATAAGCCATTTTAGCATTCTGCCAGATGACTCCAAGGTAGACATTGGCCGTTTGAGTGACTGGTCAGTGTATATCACCACTGGATGTGCAAGAAAATAAGGCTTCAACTTCTTGAATGCCATATACAAAGCAAGGCCAAATTTTCAACCATGGGGTACCGGAGTTCAGCATTTTTGAGCACATGGCTAATGAAATAGACCGGGAGCTAAACGTCGTCTCTTTCAGCAAGGAGAACGGCACTGAGGGAATGATCTGAGACGGCTAAGTTCATGTACAGCATCTCTCTAGGCAGAGGACTAACGAGCCTCGGCAAGGAGTGCAAGTGCTCTTTCAGCTTTTGTAAGGCTGCCTCAACATCATCCCCCCATTCAAATCTGGTCTTCTTCCTGATTGCTTGGAAGAAGTAAAGGCATTTGTCGCCTGACCGGCTGAGGAATCTCCCCAATGCCGCCAGATAACTAGTTAATCTCTAAACTTCCTTGAAAGTATGGGGTGAATTCATGTCAATTACCGCCTGTATCTTCTCGGGGTTAGCCTTTATCCCCCTTTGATCAATCAGAAATCCGAGAAACTTCCAGACTTAACACCAAAGACGCATTTCTTAGGATTCAACATGACCTTGTGCCGCCTGAGGGTGGTGAATGTTTCTCGGAGATCATCAAGATGATCCGTCTGTAGCTTAGATTTGACTATCATGTCATCAATGTACGCCTCCACATTCCTCCCGATTTGATTAATGAAGACCGTATTAATCATCCGTTGGAAAGTGGCAGGCGCATTTTTCAAGCCAAACGACATCACAGTATAACAAAATAACCCCTGATCAGTGACGAAGGCCGTCTTCTCTTGATCTTTCTTCCACAGGGGAATCTAATGGAAGCCGGAATAGGCATCCATAAAACTCATCAAGGCGTGGCCGGCTATAGAGTCGACCAGGCTTTCAATCTTTGGAAGAGGATAATTGTCGTTGGGACACGCCTTGTTGAGGTCTGTGTAATCAGCACACATACGCCAGGTTCCATTCGGCTTCTTTACAAGCACAACATTGGCCACCTAGTCGGGAAAATTACATGGCCGAATGAACCCAATGTCCAGCAGATTTTTTACTTCGGCAGCTGCCACCTGACTTCTTTCCTCGCCGTGATTTCTTTTCTTTTGCCGGACGGGCTTCTTTTTAGGATCCACGGCGAGCTTGTGGACAGCAAGATCCGGGCTGACGCCTGACATCTCTTCCATTTCAAAGGAATAAAATGTCTTTGAATTCTTTCAGCAGAAGGTGCAAATCTGCACCCAAATTATCATAAGCAACCGTCCCAACCTTTACTGTACGCTCTGGACGGCTGTCGTCCAGAGGTATATCAATATGTTCTCCAGCCGGTTATGGACAAAGCTCATCTGACCGTTCCCCAGTTAGTGATTGCTATTTTTCTCTTTCTTTACCTCCACCAGCAGAGGGACCTTTCTTTTTTTCCCGGCTCCTGGTGGGGCTGGGGCGGCATCCTTGACATTGTCAAGTCTATTGGTTCTGGGCCTTGGTCGCCTGGGGTCACAGTATCTTTGACGGCTGAGAGGTAACACTCCCGTGTCGTCTTTTGATCCCCATTCAAGGAACCAACAGAGTCGTCATCCCTCTCATACTTGATGAGCATGAGAGAAGGGATTGATTACAACCTTGGCTTCGTTGAAGGTTTGTCGGCCTAGGATAATGTTATAGGCGGTCAATTCCTCAACGACCAAGAACTTGACGACCAGGTGTCGTCCTTTTCCTTTTTCACCCAGCCGCCAGCCGGATTAGTAAATCAACCTTCTGACTGGGTAAACCATTCCACCCCCAAAACCAACCTGGGGGTAACCGGATGCATGCTGCTGACGTTGTATTTTAGCTTTTGCAGGCACCGGAGACTGATGATGTCCGATGAGCTGCCGGTGTCAATAAGGATTTTTCCAACCAGTTGGTTGGCAACCTTACATTCAATGACGACCGAGTCGTCATGCGGACGGCGAACGCTGCCCCTGTCCTTCTCAGTGATAAGAACGTCTGGGAAGGAGGATCTAGCGGACGCTTGCTCATCATCATCATTGTCCATCTTTCGAAGATGGCTCTTGGTGCCCCGGATGGTGGGGCCACCGCATGAGAAACCGCCTGCTATGGTGTAGACCGGCTCCTTATCGGTGTCTGAACTACTAGTAAGCTAGGGAGTCTTGGACGACTGCCCCTTGTTCCTCTTATTAGTCCCTTTGGACTTAGAAATGTAGGACTTAAGCATCCCTTTGTCAGCCAGACAGTCCAACGCCCGTTGTAAGCTAAAGCATTCGTTGGTGTCATGGGCAACTTCCTCATGGTACTGACAAAATTTGTTCTTGTTCCGTGACTGGACAGAACTCTTCATTGGATTCGGCTTCTCAATAGCCAGCCGGTCCTTTATCTCCATGAGGATGGATTTAGAGTCCTTGTTAAACTCGTACCTGGGGACGTACGGTTTAAACTCTTTTTTCCTCTTCTGGGACGGCTGGTCAGAGTCACTAACCGCCCAAACTTCTTTTCTCTTTTTGCTCTCTTCTTTATTTTTCGCCGGCTGAGCAGACCGACTTTCTTTTTGTTTGTCAGACTTCTTGGAGTCTGACTGGCTGCCAGGCGTGCAGAGGTCGGTAGCTTGAATATAGCATTCCGCCTCCCTCAAGGCCGCCTGCAGCGTAAATGCCCCTTTTCTGACGAGGTCAAACTTAAAGTTTAACCCGTCTCTCAGACCCTTGAAGAAGTCTGTGAACGCTACCTCGTATGACAGCCCCTGGATCTGGATTCTGACCAGGTTGAACCGTTTGACATATGAGTGTAGCCCTTCTCTCTCACCCTGCTTAACGGTGCTCAAATCAAGGCTCGTTTTCTTAGAAGGGATGTTCATTGAGAAGTTTGTGGCAAACAAGAAGGCTAGCTTCTTGAAGCAATCAATAGAACCAGCTCGTAAGTTGTCAAACCATTATTAGGCAATACCCTTTAATGTAGCCGGGAAGCATCGACACCAAGTGGCATCGTCCCACCCCTGTAAACACATGAGGTTGGTGTACGCCATCAGGTGGTCTTCTGGGTTGGAGGTACCATCGTAAGTACCTACCAACAGATTCTTAACCTTGGCTGGCTGAGCCGCCTCGGTTATATTCCTAGTGAACGCAGAGGGTTGTTCACCAAGCTTGAGCAGTCGAAGTTTCCAGTCCAAAAGTTGGACACTGTTGAATGTCGCCTGTCCCCCAAAGGCAAACGGCTACATGTATGGAAAACCATATTGTCCGTATTGCGCCTGAGGTACAAACGGGGCAGATCCTATCATCATTTGAGGATCAGTGTTGAAGGACTTGCAGCCTGTGCCACTCTCATGTATGGAGAGTGAGTTTTGAACAGAAGTTTGTTTGAAGCTGTCTGGAAAGTCCGAGGTGGAGGCTGACTCAGACAGCTGCTGGTGTCTCCTTCGCTCAATGATCTGTCGAGCGTCAGAAACAGTCTTTTTAGTGGCTCCCGGCTGTTCTTGCTGGGTGTGCCTTTGAGGACCCTTAGGCATAAGGATCTTGGTCCAGTCAAGTCTTGCGGATTCCTTCTCCTTCTCCTTGGGATGAGGAGTAGGTTGCCTGTCCTTGACTGGCTTCTTCCTCTCACATGGAGGTGTCTTCTTAACCGGCTGACCCTTGCTGGTGATGGCCTTGTTTTTGTTGATCATCTCCTTGATCTCACCCTTAAAGGAGTTCATGAAAGTCATGAGCTCATCCCGGGTAACCGGAGCTGATCCTCTGGCCTTCCGGGTTTCCCCTTCTGGCCTCCCAGTGGGTCGGGCTCGACCCGCCTGGTTTTCTTCATGTTCCAGCTGATCTCTGGAATGGGTGTATTTGGAGATGAATGAGCCGTCTTTGGCCACATATGTCTCCACCTCATCATGGCCAGTGAAGACCTCCGGCTGACGTACCGGTGGAGGAACGCTTGAACTACCTGGTTGATTAATCGATTGAGAAATGCTTGTATTACCCGGTCGGGTAATAGATTGAGGATTGTTTGGATCAGGAGGGGGTACAGACTCTTGAACCATCTTTGAGGTACTCTCCCCACAGATGGCGCCAAATATTTTGGGTGTTTTTGTCCCTCGGAAGAGTTACGTCACAAAGTTTGGTCCACGCGTGAGCTGTACCTGCAAAACAACGGAGACCCCAAGTGGTTGGAGCTCCGCCTCTGACGATCAAATTAGTAACTTGAATAGGAGTAAAAAGGTGCGGAAATTTAGGTGGGTATCTGCTCGGATTCCAAGCTCGAGATGTCTCTTTCAAAGAGTAAATTGTGTAATAAGTGGTAAAACGTATCTCCAAAAGGAGGAAATCTCCCTATTATTTATAGGGTTCTCGGGAATTGTGCCCCTGATTAGATCATCAAGCCCTAATCATTGGTGGGCTGCGCCGCATTGCGGCTTTCTTGAGATTTGGGCCATGAAGGCCGTCTTTTTTCCCATTTCTTTGGGATGACACGTGTCAAACAGGGATTGGTCCTGTTTGAACTAACCCTAAAATGACACGTGTCACATTCTGACTGGACCACGTGTCAGGGTAAAATTAGCCCAAACACTAAGCATGTAACAACCAACAAAGTTGATTTTTTTTTCACATTCTAATAAAAAAGTTGAATACACCATTTAAAAAATTCTGACTACGGCACTAATTAATAATAATGCTAACTACCACCAAATGGCCGGATACATTAATTATTGATGAATAGTAATGGAAATAAAACCTTGTTTTAAAGCCATCAACACTATATAATATGCTAGCTGAATAACACATACACATATCTGCTCCACGAACTTCACATTTCGGATCTTATATATCCTCTTTCAGTACCCTTATTAATTCTCCTACTAACTCCTCTCTATTTCTCTTATTACTCTTCAATTATACAGCTACACTATACACTTTATTATATATCATGTCCACGTGAAAACTTATTACCAAAATTCATTCATCAACTACTCAACTTCTTATATTTGATAATACAAATTTAGAATGAATAATAAGGTTTGCTTAACATGGCCTAATCACCCTTGGGAAGATATTGATTTACTCAAAGATGTTTTAAAGCACGCCGACCAACCAAACACCACCACCAACTGGCTGCCTGCTCCGCCGCCAGCGTTGGATAATACCGCCTCAACAGATGAACCAATATTCGTTAACTCATCGTCGTCGTCATCAACGTCGTCATCTGATCAAAGTAATAATAATAGTGAGCAAGTTCCGGTGTACCAAAATCAAGTATCTAAAGCTTATTCCGGGCCTACACTTGTTGATATTGAGAAAGCTCTTTCTATTACCACGGCTACTTCGCTTCGAAACAATCTATCACATTCCAGGTTCGATTTTCTGTTTTGCTAATTTACTCAAATGTGATCATACCATTTTTGTGTGATTATTTATTTTATTTTTTATATTTTTTTTACATGATTTTAAGCAAAAAAAAAACAACAAGAAAATATTAAAGGACAATAAACTAATGTTTGTTGTAATAACAAGTAAATGGGCCCTTTGCACCCCATCGCACTGTACCTTGTGAATACTACATCAATATTTGTGTGTTTATTGTATTATTACTTGAAGACAAACTAAACAAAATGTGTTAATATAAATTTAGCAACTATGTCTATTTTCAATGAATTTTGTTTGAATAGGAGACTAATCATGAAAGTTGGGTATGTAAGGATAAAGAAAACAAAAATACTTCGGATCTTATACCAAAATAGCTAATTTGACAAAAGTATTTACCAAAACGGCTAATTATAAAATTTAATTCCCAAACTAGCTAAATTTATTGATTTAAAAGAATATTATTTAATTTTTATATTCCTTTAAACCCGTTTGTTAACTTTATGTTTTTTTTTTGTTTTTTTAAAAAAGAATTACGGAGTAGTTTTTTTAGTTTTGATTTTATTTAAATTCTAAGGCCATGCATAGTTTAAAATATCCCATTAATTTGAACAATAACAATCAACATAATATATATGCAACAATTCTCTATTTTAAAAAAAAGTTACACAATCACTCGAAAAAATGACGATCCAAACTTCCAATCAACAAAAGAAAAAAAAATACAACTATTTTTTTTTAACACATAAAGATAGAAATAAATATATGTAAGTTTGATTTATTATACACATTAAACAAAAAAATATTCATACTAGCCAACATTAACAAAGAGTATACAATTAATAGACATGAAAAAGATATACTTAAAATATTTTATCGTTGTATAAATTTATTGTAGTCTTGATAGAACAATACTACTTGAAATTTCAAATTTTTGTGATTGATGTAGATGAAAAATTAGTGCTTTTAATTTAATTTATTTATTATTTTTTTATCGAAATTAGGGTTCTGCGAGTCTGCTAGTTACGTTGTTTGTAGTTTTGTATATTGCTTAAATTTTCCAACTTAAAAAATCTTTAAGTAAATAAAAATAAAACCAAAAAAACAAAGTTAAAAAAAATAATAATTGAACCAAACCGGTTCAAAGGAAATAAGAAATGGATAAATTCCGTCCAAGTTAATAAATTACTTAGTTTGGGAATTAAAATTTATAATTAGCCATTTTGACAAATACTTTTGTCAAAGTAGCCGTTTTGGTAAAAGATCCAAATACTTCACTGTTGACTTCAAAATTTATGTTTTTCAACATCTTACTATCTTAGTATATACAAGTATAAACTACTATTCCTTAAAAAAAAAAAAAAAAAAAAAAAAAAAAAAAAAAAAAAAAAAAAACGATTAAGTCAAATTGATTAAAAGAAAATAACATTTATTATATTGTCATGTAATGACGACGATCAGACCACCTCACTTAACAATATTCACAACCCCGAATTATCAGCTAATAACACCCTTGTTCAACGTCTTAGGTCCATGGAAATTCAACCCGAACAACTAGCCTAGAAAACGTAACTTAGCTAGCCAAGCCACCACTAGGCAGCCATTTTCTCTAGCCACATTTCACTTAGAGTGCGCTAACCAAGAGCTTGACCATGACAATATGTCACCAACAAAAGAATGTCCGTACTATATAGTAATTAATCAAATTATGGACTAGAGACCTCAAGTATGATAGTGGAGGCTAGTGCAAGTGTCATGGTCGTGGTTGTGGTCTTAGGCGGGGATTCCACATTGCTAGACCCAGGGGATATCCAGGATTCCAGAGTAGGGGTAGCACTAAACGCATACTAAAAAATTTAAAGGGACGAAATAACCAATATACACCTACGAACTTGAAACTCAAACAAAATTTTATGGAAGTTATTTTTATCTAATTTTTTTGAATATAATTAAAAAAAAAAAAAAAAAAAAAAAAAAAAAAAAAAAAAAAAAGTGTATGAGAGAATCGAACCTTTGATCCCAAAGGCACTCAAAGGCAGCTTTATTTAGCTACATTATACCGCTGAAGCAAATTCAATTTTCGTGAAAAGCATGCATTGTTTAATAAATATCAACTATTTATAAGGAAGATTTTTTTATACACTTTTTTTTTCTTTTCCGGGGGTAGCACGTGCCCCCTGGGTTCCAATGTAGATCCGCCAGTGGCTGGACCATAGTTGGAATTATTAAGTACGTAGGATTTTGAGATCCACTATTTATGTATGGGAAGAAATTAGGGGATTGAATCTCTGAATGCCATGGTCGTGTCTGTTAACGTAGTGTAAGGGCATAGGTTTATTTGAAGAGTTCTCTAAGTATCTCTTTCTATGGCGAGAGGCATTGAGGAGCTAGTTAGTCCTACTCTAGCAGCAACTAGATCAGATTTCCTAGGTTTATCTTGGATGACTCTCCATGAGTCCATGTAAAGACATTTTAAAAAGACCCTTGGTGCAATCAAGTGTTACGATTTTCTTTACCACAATGTACTTGTGCTATAAAAATGTACCATTACAATTATAGTTAACTGGTTAGATCCCGTGCCATGCACGGTAATTTCAATATTTATTATAAAAAAAATATTAAATTGCAAAATAGGATGAAAGTTCTGTAATTACGATTTTTTTTCAAAATCATTAAAGAAAACGGAGGAAGAAATGCATGCACGACTAATAAAAATAACTATGGATTACATTACAAAGTTATAGATAAGATTACATTATTATCATATTATATGACTTTATTTCCGTCATAAAATAAATAAATAAATAAATAAATAAATCTTTGTTGAATGTGTAAAAATGAATATACTTGCCAAATAGAAAAGAAATATTATTGTAAGTAAGTATTAAATTAAATACTTTTTTTTTTAGGGGGGAGATTAAAATTCATTAATAATAAGCCATACGGCACTTGCATAAGAAAACGTAATCGAACAATACAAAGACTAATGAAACAATTTCAAGTTCGGAATAAAATAAACTACAATTGCACGCGCAAAATGACTTTCTGAAATACCCTTGACTCATATAACGTTGTCCTATGCAGCCTCTTGGAAGGGGGTCTGGCAATAAGCTGTAGTTTCTGACGTGAACCTTCATTGACTCAGAATCCTGTACTCCTCGACCAGAAATCAAACTTGGTGTCGTACACTTCACTATTGACAATACAATCTCCGATTCAAACACGGGCTCCAACTTGGAAGCATAACCCTTCAGCCCAAACCAAAAGAAGATCAAACCAAAGCCCCATAGCCAAAAAACCCGGTTCAAATCCTGCACCATAAGATCGGCACACCGATCTGCATACCCCATAGCACACAAACGCACCACACAAGAAGAAAAAATAACAAACCCGAAAGAACAACACACACAACGACTGAAATAAAAAAAAAAAAAAAAACAGAAAGAAAATTAAAAACGGGAACTACAAACGAAACCCTAGCAAACGACCCCGCAGCCAATCCGAGTACCACCATCCAAGCACCGGGGTTCACCAACCCAACCCACATACCACCGTACAGGAAAGCCCGGCCCGCAGGGACCCGCTCGAGAAGCCCAAACCCCACACACCCCTGAACCGCGGCAACGACGGCTGGAAACCCGAGACTGAGAACGGTCCTACGCGTGGGACTCAGAGGGAGATAACTCTCCCTCCCCGTTCTCCCACGAGACGTCGCAACGACGGCCAAGGCGGTGGAGCAGAGACACGGCAGGGAAGCGGAAAATAAGAACGGCGGCAAGCCCGCAACAAGGCCGGTGAGGAATAGCGGCGGCCGAAAAGGGGGAGCGGCGCAAAATGCTAGGTCAACCGGACAAAAAACCAAAGCGAAAAAAGAAAGAAACACCCTAAGGAGGTAGATCGGAGGCTCGCCGACGTTGTGGCAAAAAAAAATTTAAATACTTCTCTAAGAAGTTTTGGAAAAAAAAAAAAAAAAACCTTTTGGAGGGAAAATTTTTAACCAGATTATGACAGGTGTCATTTCTGATTTCGCCTTTAGTATAGGTATATTGATGATTATCTAGCTAATTAACTAAAAAAAAAAATTTTGACAATAACAATAGTTAACTATAATGGCAGTGGTAAAATTCTCAGATAAATTTTATTTTAATTAGACACATTAATATAGACAGATTTTCTAATGTATGTTTTATATATCAATATTTTCACTTATCAATAAACAAATGTGGTACGGAGTAAAAAAAAATTATATTAGAAAAAATATATATTGAAGCAACTTAATATGGCCCACTTGATTATGTTTTTCTCATTTATCAATCACGATATATAAAGTCAATGTAAGTAATTGATGTGAATGCTATTCAAAAAAAAAAAAAAAAAAAAGTAATTGATGTGAAAATAAAAAAATATCAACTAAAAAGAAATACGGAAGTACATTGTTGTGGTTCCAATATTGTATAACCATGATGTTATTTGAATTAAAAAAATATAGTCCCACTTTGTTGTATGGTATGGAGATTTTTTTAAACAAAATACTCTGTAAAAAATTAAAGAAAAGAGGGTAACAGGATATTCAACTATTAAGACTGAGTACACAATTAATATATTTTCTATATTAAATCATTTATTAGGAATAATGCAAGGAAAAGTCAGATTAGTCGATTTAACTAATGTTTTATTTCAATCACTGCACTCGTATTATTTCTAAATCCAAACAAATAATTAGAAGAAATTTAAAAAACGAGGGAGGGTAATATATAATTCATATGTCTTTAATCTCTTTATAAATTTATTTATTTGTAACATTCGGTTAATGCATCCCAACGACCTTCTACTAGTATTAGTTAGCTCCCAACTACTATCAAATATATAGTGTCATTAACCCTCTGGCTGTGGTTTACCCTACATTTTTAAAAGAAAACTTTTGTAGAATTTGTTACAGTGATCTAATTAATAAAAAAAATTTGCCAATTTTATTATATATATGCAGAAT